TTAAATAGGAAACAGGTCATAATTCAACAATTTCTTCACCCAAATATTTAAGACACCCAAAATAAAATACTGTGACCCCCACATTTTCAATAATTTTAAGGTAGGGGAAAATATTTTTCTTAACTTATAAGAAGTATTACCAAAATAAATAAATCATTCTTTGTGTTATTTAACTTGGGTGTGCGATACAAAATTAACTTTGTTAGCACAAATATGTTTAGTAGCACAAGCGTTAACACCCAATCTCTTACATTAGCATAATGTAATGACCCAACCGATCGTTTTACTTTTTAGAACCCTGTTCTCCTAAATAAAACTCCATATACGTACTTTTACTGTTTTATGACTTGCGAGGACGGTTAGTTTGGGATTTGGAAGGGTTCGGGTTGAAACCGGAACAACTGGTTCCTTAAGGTTGGCTAAAAAGGTTAAGTTTGACTTCGGTCAATGTTTGGAGTAAACGACCTCAGAATTGGAATTTAACGGTTCTAATAGATTCGTATGATGATTTTGGACTTGGGCGTATATTCGGATCGGGTTTTGGATGACCCGGGAGCATTTCGGCGCCTAACAGTGAAAGTTAGTTCTTTAAAGGTTTTGAAGTTCTTTAAATTTGGTTTGGAGTAGGTTTTGGTGATATCGAGGTCCAAATGGAATTTCGAGATCGAAAATAGTTCCGTACGGTGATTTAAGACTTGCACACAAAATTTGATATCATTCCAAGTAGTTTAGGTATGTTTCGGCGCATTGGGAGTGAATTGAAGAACTTAAAGTTCATATTTTTGATTAAATTGGTTTGGAATGTGATTCTTAGTTTTGATGCTGTTTTGGGCGTTCCGAGAGTTTGAGCGAATCCGTTTTATGATTTCAAACTTGTTGGTATGTTCGGGCGGGGCCTCGGGGGTCCAGGTGTTAATCGGCGAGGCTCGGACCAAGTTGGAACTTGGGAGCAACAGCTGAAGATCCCAACTGCTGGTGTAATCGCACCTGCGCCTGGCCAGCCACAGGTGCGAGCCCATGACCGCAGAAGCGTCCCAGCATGGGCTGCCCAGCCATCGTAGAAGTGGAAGAATGACCACATCTGCGAAGGCAGGCATCGCAGAAACGGGCAGTGTCGCAGGTGTGCTCTTTTTTGTCGCAGGCGCGTGTCCGCAAGTGCGATCGGCTGAGCGCAGAAGCGTGAGGAGGCAGCCTGGCCTTGGTCCATACCTGCGCAATTTTGTCCGCAGAAGCGGAAGCACATGTGCGAAAATCGCTGAGGGCAGACCACTTCATTTAATACGGGACTTAGGCATTTTTGCTCATTTCTACCAAATACCTCAATTAGTTGATGAAAATCCCTCTCTAACCAGCTCCAAAATCGCCCCAAGAAGTTAAATACATAGCTTATGGGTAGATTATAACATGTAAATTAGTGAAAATCATGGGTTTAGGTGAAAACCTAGTTTTTGATAAAAAAAATGGAATTTAACAACGAAATTTGTTTTGGAATTTAGTAAAAATCATATGTTTGAGTTCATGAGGTTATGGGTAACAACTTCCTTCGAAAATTTTCGAAATCCGGGCACGTGGATCCCGGGGTGAATTTTAGGAATCCTACATTTGGGGTTGGATAATAGCTTAATAGTTAGAATATGAACTTTTGAATATGTATTGATTAATTTACATACCATTTGACTAGTTTCGAGTCGTTTGGCACCGAATTGAGGGTTTGAGCACAATCTTGGACCAAAAAGTAGGCTTTGAGACGAGATAAGTCTCTTTTCTAACCTCGTAAGAGGGATATTAACCTATAGGTGAATTGATTAATATGCGCTCCTATTTGTGGGGGCTATGTACGCGCGAGGTGATGAGAATCCGTACGTAGCTACTAATTATGCTTATGTCCGGGTAGTCTAGGGCCCATACCATGCTATATTTGCGATGTTTGCACCCTACGTGTTAACTTAATTGCTTAAAGTATGTTGGAACTTGAGAAAGGAATGGTAGAAGGTTAAATTTCATTTACTTAAATTCTTGAACGGGCCACTTGACTATTATTGATAATTGGCGTTTCCTAAAATAATTGCCTCTTAATAAATCTTGAATTGGCTGTTATAAAGTGTTTCTTTTCGTGGAGCGGGCCGAACGCCTCGGCAGCAGATAGATGCATCTATGGTTCGTGTTGTTCGACCCTCAGCAGTGCACAGTTTAAATACTTTATGTTGGATCGGGCCGAACGACCTCGGTATAAATTGCGCATGATAAATCTTTGGGACTATTTATAATTGATGTTGCCAACATTGACTCGAGATGTAGATTATTAAATGATGAAAATAAATTCAGGACTTAATATTTGCGAAAGGAATGCTTACTATCTCCTGTTATTGAGTTTTCAATATTTTTCATGTAATCCATGCTTAAATTATAAATTTTACATATTATTGTTAGCCCATAGTAAGTGTCAAAGTCGACCCCTCGTCACTACTTCTTCGAGGTTAGATTGGATACTCACTGGGTACATGTTGTTTATATACTCATGCTATACTTCTGTACTTAATGTGCAGGATCTGAGGCAGGTGCATCTGGGTATCAGTCCGGCGCGCATGCTCGATTCCTGTTATGAGACTACACGATGAGCTGCCTTCTGAGCCGTTCTGCAGCAGCCAGAGTCTTTCTTTTGTTATTGTCCTGTCTATTTCATTTTGAAACAGTAGAGTAGTAATCTTTTGTATATTCTACTAGTAGCCCATACTCTTGTGACACCGGGTCTTGGCACACACTAGTAGACTTGTGATTTTGGTTCATTCTATGGTTATGATTGCACTCAGTTGCTTCCGTTTTATTTATTTTAAATCTGTATTTCTTAAATCTTTTAAATTAAGGAAAGTTTAATTACGTTAAAATTTATTAAAAAGAGAAATTCCCTAGTTAGTTCACTGTTAGCTTGCCTAGCGGCGACGTTGGGCGCCCTCACGACCTATAATAGAATTGGGTCGTGAGACATAAGATCGGCTTGAGAAATGACCACAACGATTATATCATCCGCTTAGTTAAATTTATTTTTGACTTTGCAGGATTATCATTTCTATCGAATCCTCTTCTACATTGAAAAATATATAATGGCTTAGTGTGCCCCCACAAAATAATAATTATTTTCAATAAAGTTTGATCTCAAATAAATAACTCTTAGTTATATGAAGAAAAATTAGTCATTATTAAATATTCACCCAAATGATCAAGGGATAAAGAAATATTATTTTTAGAACACAAAGTACTTTCACCAAAATGCAATATACTTTGGTTCTTCGATATATATACTTGTCGCCACAAGAATCATAAATTTCGTAAGGCTCTTCTATATTGACATTAAATTATTATTGTCAACGACTTAAGGGCGGACAAAAGCAATTGTCAATAATATACATACATGAGTTCTTTTAGATATATGTATAATAACCATTTTAATAAAGTCATATCTAGCAGCACTCAATTGGTCATTCATGATCTCTAGAAACATAAGTAAACGGTAAAATATTGATGCATTAAATGATTAAGTTTTACCATAACATATTGCCTCTTTAAAATGTTAAGAGAGAAAATTTAAAACACTCAAGATAAAGAGAACTACAAAAGCATCTCTTATAAGACTTAAAAAAAAATAACGTGCATTTTCTTTCACAATACAAAATGCACATACATAATAACACGCTACAAATCCACTACATCTAATAACGCACAACCCGAAACACTAATAAAATTAGAAGGAGATTATATGTATCATCTTAAGGCCAGAGTTATTTGCCAATTATATTCTCACGAGAATAATCATGAAAGAATAAATGTTGAGGAGGTATTAGTTCAATTATGCATATCTGACACTTAGATATAATGTTACGCAATAACCTATCAAGCAGAAGATATTACCGTATGTTTTTAAAGTCCATCAAAATTCTATAAGTAGTATTCTCCATAATAACAAAGTAAAATATCCTTAAGATTATTGTAAATCTTACGGAAAATACTTGATCACAAAACATTTACGAAATTCTTTTAAGCTTGAAGCGTGTCAAAGACTCTGTCCTTAAGGATATTTCACCTTGTTAGGATTCAACAAGCTCTTATAGTATAAAATTAGGAGCAGAAACTAACAAAGATTTATTCTTGGTAGAAAATCCAACAAAAGGAAGGAGAGCGTTTTCTATATACTTAGTCTCTACCACAAAAGAATGTGTATAAGCGAAGGAAATCAAGATGTTATAATGAGTGAATAATGGTCCAACAATTACAAATATAGAATAATGACCCATTATTATATGAAATAATAAAGACACTAAATGTCCAACAAAATGAATCTAGACAGTTTTAGAAAATATGAATCCGGACACTTCCTTTGAGATATCATATCTACTATTTTTCTAACACGGAATAACTACTTATGTTAAACTTATCAAAGAGCAGGACATAATACAATTTTGTTCGTATAAGGTTACTATTAAGATTGTAAATATTTGTTGAAGTTAAAAGTTAGCCTTGATATGAACAAGACCACTATTATACATATTATTTTAATTTCTAGCAAATGAATGCGATAAATATGAAAAATATTTGTTAATATGACATCAAGGAAAAAAAGTTTATTTTCTGATACACTTAATTATGTAGCTTATGAAAGAATTTAAGGAATTTATTTAAGGAAAAAAAATAATCTGATTAAAATTGGAGATGTATAGGACAAGAGGGTTTGCTCTGACGGCAAGCAACCTTCACTTTCAACAAAGAGGTTCTGAGTTCGAGTCACCCCAAGAGTAAGGTGGGGAGTTCTTGGAGGGAAGGACGGCGAAGGTCTATTGAAAATAACACCCTACTCATACCCCACTAGTGGGATTATACTGAGTTGTTGTTATTGGTGTTGGTACTTGCAAGTTAGAGACAAAGCAGGGGTACAGTACATATTGTTACCACTATTATATGAAACCTGCCCAATCACAAGAGCAGCACCAACGCCCCACTCAGCCAACTGAGCCAAAAATTTTAGAAACAACAGAAAACAAGCAGCGATTGGGCGAGTTTGGCCTTAAAAATGCTGTGGTAATAAAACACTGACACCAGCTTAAAAGAAAAGCTAAAACAATTCCACCACCTGGAATCTCGTCACTTGTTGTGAGTGACTTCACATTCCCCCCAATTTCTCCGATCCAACGCAAACCCTAACCCCACACACACACTCGCACACTATAGTGATTCCTGTCGCCTTCAATTGTTAAGACTTTAGGCCACCCACTTCTCTCTCTAACTTGTTTCTCTCACTATATACGTATACAATTCCAACAAAAATATATAAATTAATTAGGGTTTTTGTACCTTTTTGGTTTATTCAAATGAATAATCTACAACCACCACCTCCTCCACCTGTTGCTGTTAAAGACTCTGAAGAGGAGTCTTCTTCTGCTATTACTACTACGAATTCTCTCGAAGCTTCTAATAAGGTTCAGGACAAACCTGATACTGGTGAAGACGATCACCCGAGGGCTGCAATCGTGGCGACTGAGAAGGAGGTTTCTTCTGTCGACAACGACGATCCCATGGAGGAGGATTCTGTGAATCCTGCTACCGTTTTTTGCATTAGGCTTAAACAACCTAGGTCCAATTTGCTTCATAAAATGAGTGTTCCTGAACTTTGCCGCAATTTCAGGTGATTCTTTTTCATTGCTGAATTTTTCTGATGTGATCACAGCTTCTTTGTATATTTCTGTAATCTTAGTGAGAATAAAACAACAATAATAACTAGGTCTCAGTTCCGGCTACACGAATCTCCTATGATGTGATAGATGTTGAAACGCCTGACCATCTAATCTAAAAGCTTAAGCGAGTAGGGGGAATACACTTGTATTTACTTCTTTCCTGCGGGATTTAGGGATTCCTGTCTTTTGCTCATATTGTCTCCTATGGAGTTAATTGCGCCTTTAACAATAGATCATCATAAATTGACTAGTCTTATACCAGCAATGTGAGTTTACATAAGATGTGAAGCTCATACTGGAGAAGTTAATTAGAAGAGGATAATAATAATTTTACCTTGATTAGAGTGGTTCTCTTTTATCAAATTTAGCTTGAACATTTGTAATGAAGCTAAAGAAGCAAGGAAATGACCAAATTTGAGAAAAGCAGAAAAAAATATTTTTTTGAGAAGGAAAAAGCAGGAAAAATTATCATTAGTCATTTATTGAGTATTACATAGTTAAAAGGGGTTAGTTATGCTGAATATCGAAAACATGCTGGGACGTCCCAGTTTAACTTTTGAATTGGTGAAAGTCACTCAATTGAGTTCTAAAGTTGCAGAGTATCGAACACTGCTTCAATGATAGCAAGGGGGCTAATCAAAGTGTTGACTTGTTAGTCCGACCATTTGTCTCCTACCTAGACCATACTACTAAGACATTTGGCTCCTCGTAATCATCTAGCTAAAAGTTTAACTTCCAGATATATCATAAGGAATTGCACAGTATATTTTGTTCATATATGCAGTAATTCACCTATGCATAACGAAATTAGACAAAAATCTGCTTTATTTGAATTAAATTCTTCACTAGAATGTGGAAGAAATGAGAAAAAACAAAATTGCATTTTCAATATGGTCTTAAGAACGATAGAAGGAACTTTGATGTATTCTTTTAGTTTCAGTGTTCATTGTTCCTAAAGCTCTTTGATTCTCTCTGTTCATTTTCTGGATACAGAGATTTTTTTTTTTGATTAAGTAAATAGTTTCTTTGACTGGCATCAAGAAGATGCAAGTTTCAAAGATAAGGACTTCAAAAAGAAGAAACAGCTCCAGTACATATGCCTAGACTGCTAGGGAGCTGAGAAAGTCCAGAATATTTATAGGGCAAGTTTCCTCTAATTTTAACAGCTGGTAGATGATGCAGAATCATTGCTTGACTTTTATGACTCCTTGTAAGAATTGCAAGCGTTTTCTTCTTGTAAGTATTAGATACCAACATTATTTTGGGTGCTGATTGAAAACCGATGAATAAAATTTTTACCCTTTCTCAAAAAAATATCTATAGGGCAAGTTACAACAGAAAGATTTTGCCAACTAAAATACAAGTAAAAGTAAAAGACATCTAGCCTTAAGTGAGTGGTTAGCAGTTGATATTTCATCAAAACATCTGTGATTTCTGGATAGAGAGAGAATTATCCTGGTATTTGAAATTATCCTAGTTTCAGTATTTGAAACATACTAGTGTGGAAATTTTTTATATTTCCTCTGGTCTCTGCCATAGCATCTTATGTGCTCAATGGGGTATTCATCTTTTCTTTCTCAGTGGGGTAGTAAGACGATAGATTAAGNATAATTGTCGGGCCAGCTTGCGCACACCTCAACTAATTCCACAGGGTACCTGCTACCTCCCACCAATACAAGTATCGGGTAACTCTATCTACCAAGGCTTGGATAGATGGGAAGATGTTTTTGCCTCCGTTGGGACTGGAACTTTGAGACCTCAGGTTTCTCAACCCACTTGATTGACCTCTAGGTGACACCCTTGGGTGCACCTCTTTTCTTTTTCTTATTTATTCCTAACAGAGAAGTAATAAATCTCGCTACATTGCATAAAGTGGTGAAGGTTCCTGGTTTAACATCTCTCTGCATATCCACACTGTAATGTTAAGAACATACATTTTCTTAGAAGGATATCTTTTTTTTTTTTTGAGAAGTGCTTAGAACATACATTTTGTGAAGACTAACCTTCCAACATATCTGAGTTGTGTAGCTACCTATCAATTTCATCAAAAAATCTTATCTCCTGTATGAACTGAGTGTATTGGCTGCCAATAGATCTATTTTTGTTTTTTAAATTTCCGACTCCTGTGACCATGTTTGCTAGTTGCTATGATGGTGTAGACTGGTCTTGACTCGGAGAACAGGGAAAGGAGTTCTCCTTCCTTTTTGTATCAGTGCCTTAGTTTGTTATGGAAAAACCAAGAATAGGAAGGGTGATTGTGGCATATCTTGGAGGTTATTGTAAAAGAACATGAAAGTGAAAGACAAGATTTCCTGGACGATTGAAGAAGTTGAGTGGTGAAAAAGTTGTTGCTTCTATATAAGAAAAGAAGAGTTTACTGATCCTAATCCTAAACTTATTAAAACATTTATATCTTCTTCAACCAGGGAACTGTTTAGTAGACAGAGAATCAATCAAGTCACTGTCTTAAGGAGCAACCATGACCACATAATGAATATTTACCTAATGAGTGAACCAATTATGGTCTAGCGGCTATGGTTGCTAGATCAATCATGAAGAATAACTCACTCTTTTGCTCACTCATTATCATCCTTTTTTTTGGTATTCGGTTGGGGGTGGGGTTGTTTGATCTTCATTTGGATTGACAATTAGATATATTATATGAAGATTAATAAAGAATTATATGGAAGTTGGCTTCAACCAGTTGTTGGTAGCAGTAAACAAATGTTTTTTTTGTCAGCAGCAAACAAATATATGCAGCTGCTTAAGATTATCGTCAAAGCCATTGAGCAACAAAACAATTGAAGTGAGGGGTTATCACCTCATGTGTGGAGTGATGCACTTCGAATTCTTCTGCTGTTTCCAATAGGGAACTTCCCTTTTCTTCTTTTTTTCCTACTCTTTAGGTACAGTTGTTAAACTAATTAAACTTGAAACTGAATGCTGCAAAGAAATTCTTTTTCAATCATTGGTTAGTCGAATATTGAATTTTAAATTTTGCAATTGAAATTTATCTTTCCATGACCTTGTTGAAGCTGCATTTTAATTATTTTTAATACTACAAGTTGTGCTAATATTGTCACTATCGTCTTGATAAAAAGAAAATTCTCACTATTGTACGATCAATGCTGAAATTAGTAAGTTCAATTCAATCTGATGTTACAAGTGTTGAAGTCAGGTAATATCTGTATCTTCAAAAAATTAAGAGAAGTTTGACTTCGAAAGAGCATACACTTTGCTTTTCGCTTTTTTGCTTATAGCTCCATAGATAATTTTTTCTTTTGCATTTTCATCTTTAAAAACACAGCTTTAGAAGTATTATGGGGCTTGGATGAAGAACACGCAGGAAATGAATAGACTTGATAGGATGAGAATAGAGAATTTAATTGTGGAAAGACATCATCTAGTTCGTCAGATCCGTCTTCTCCCAAATGCCATATGATATCAAGGGTGGCATATTAATGTAACTATAAGCATGCTCAAGATCAACTTGCAATGTAGCATCTAAGTTTGTTTTGTCCCACAAATGCCTTTTTTGTGCCAGATAAAAATCCCCATAAGCGCTATTCTTAATATAAGAGAAAAAAGCTTGGCTATTGTCTCACAGGAGTCCCTGCAATCGGATATGCCTGATATGTTTAATATCACTAGCCCCATCTCTCTCTAGAATGTTAGGCATTAAGCAATAAAGTAGGCATGTGTCTGATTTCACTTGATAAATCACATCTGCCATAACTATGTTGGACCAATATTAGGCTATGCCATGTTCAAACCCCGGGGTGTTGGAGCTTTGTCTCCATGATAGTTATTCAATTTTTGACATTGCAGATAGTGCTTGTGCACATTATTATACACTTATACTTGTCGTTATAAGAATGTTTTTTCCTTTCAATGCTGCTATGATGGAGGTGAGCCTGAAATTCCATCTTGTATCAACATGTAAATGATGACGTCTATTTTGCTATTCAACTACTGATGCTTGGGTTTTCATGATTCATCATACATCTAATGTTATGTGTATGCCCTTCAATTCGCTATCAAGAATGTGTATATCCTTCAATTTGCNTTGATATTTCGTATTTTACAACTTTTTATGTTCTACAGATTCCCCTCGTGATTCTGTCCAATTCATTGAATGGTCTCCTACTTCTTGTCCGCGTGCGCTGCTCATAGCTAACTTTCATGGGAGAATAACAATCTGGACTCAGACTTCTCAAGTATGCTGGTTTTCTGGATTATAGTGCATTCTGTTGCCCTCTTCACTTTCTGTTTGCATGTATTTTCGGTGACTTGCAAGTTCTTGGTGTGGGGTTTCTCACTTTTTCCATGTCACACCTGGTAGCCAATACCTGATTGAGTCTTGGTTTTTCCCATATGCTACACGTTCATGAATATTTCTATATTGTTGCTTCAAAAAAGTATTCTTACCTAACATGTATGCTTGGTTACTCAGGGTCCAGCTAATCTGGTACGAGATGCCAGTTGTTGGCAGCGAGAGTATGAATGGCGTCAAGATATTGCAGTTGTTACAAAGTGGTTATCAGGAGTTTCTCCGGTATGCAATTGTTATGATATCTCGAAATTTGGATTTAAGAATTTGCATAATTCGATTGGTTCATATCTTGTTTTTGTTTTACCTAACATTAGTATAGGTGGCTTTCAACAAGAACTGGTGGTTCCGCTAAGTCAACATTTGAGGAGAAATTCCTTTCACAGCAACCACAATCTCCAGGTAGGTTCCTTGTTTCTCTATCTCTTTTTATATATGTTCCATCAAATGAGTAGTTAGTAGGGATATATGTAAAGTGATTCAAAAACATTTATGGTGCGTGTTACAAGCAATGTTGTCATAGGCAAAAACCAAAAAAAAGCATTGATATCTGCTGGGCTTTAAGCACAAAGTGCAAGTAATGCATATAGCTCAATTAAAGCGCGAGCTTTATGAAAAAGTGCACAACTGAAGAAAAGTAAAAGAAAAAAATATATGTAATTCAAAAATAATAACTATATTCACAAACAACAATTATGTGGATAAAGGAATTGATGAAATTATAATTAAGTGAAATAGTTATTGTTCAGTACTGCTCGTTTTAATAGTCCATAGGTGTGGGACACATCCTTAGCATCTTGGTGCCTAGACAGAAGCTCTACCTAAGTGAGGAGAAGTATGGTTATATTTCGCTTAGCTTCGAGGTTTGAGCAACCTCAAATGAACCCAAGGCGCATTGAAACTGCCTTACCAGTGGCAGGGGATGCTCGACTCCAGATGGCGTACCCCAACGTTTAAGGTTGTTAAGACTGGACCTTTGGGCCTAATTCAATCCCAAATACTTGCTCATGAGGCGAGAATTGCCCAAGACCATATGGGGAGACAGCTCATATTCTCAACCAATATGGAACTCTAATACCCTCTTGCATGCCCAAGACAGGATATTTGGAACGTGAACAACACAACATGGGGGCCCAACGGTGGGTAAACCAAGAATAGAGATGAGTCTGGCTCTAATACCATATTAAAATAATTGACCTTCGACCTCAGTCAATCCCATAAGCACTACACTGCTGTTCTGCTGCTGATCCTGCTACTTCTGCCATCATGTGCCCGTGGAGTTCTTCATATTCAAAGTATCAATTTTAATGGAAATTTTTCCTTAATTAATTTTATTTTAATTTTGATTGCAGCTGGATGGCCGAATTTTCTGTGTGTATGCTCTGTCTTCTCATCAGGGTCTGTTCAGCTCCATTGGTCTCAATGGCCGCCTAATCAGAATGGTACACCATCAAAATGGTTTTGCACAAGCAAAGGGCTATTGGGAGCGGGTCCTAGTGGCATCATGGCTGCTGATGCTATCATAACAGACTCTGGAGCAATGCATGTTGCTGGAGTTCCCATTGTCAATCCATCAACTGTTGTCGTCTGGGAGGTGACACCTGGCCCTGGTAATGGATTTCAAGCAACTCCAAAGACAAGTGTGAGCAATGGGATTCCACCGTCCCTTAATCCACCTTCTTGGGATGGATTTGCCCCTTTGGCTGCATATTTGTTTAGCTGGCAGGAGTATTTATTACAAGAGGCTAAGCAAGGCAAAAAACTAACGGAGCAACATTACAATGACATGGTCGCACTTCATTGTTCACCAGTTTCCAACTTTTCTGCATATGTTAGTCCTGAAGCAGCAGCTCAATCCACAGCTACCACGACATGGGGTTCTGGTGTTACTGCAGTTGCTTTTGATCCGACCCGTGGTGGTTCTGTTGTAGCTGTTGTGATTGTTGAGGGTACGGATATGGACCTGATGCCCCTCTTTGCCCTTCAATTTTTTCTAGTGATGATGGTTTCCCCCCTTCTCTGGTTTTCTTTCTGGCACTAACTTTTTCCAACTTTATATTTGTTAGCTAATCTTTACTCTTTTTGTTTCTTTAGGTCAGTACATGTCGCCTTATGATCCCGATGAAGGTCCTTCAATCACAGGATGGAGGGTTCAACGTTGGGAATCATCTGTGGAGGATGTTGTCCTCCACCAAATATTTGGAAATCCTACATCCAGCTTTGGTGGCCAGGCGCCAAAACAGACAGTATGGGTGAGTAAAGTAATTAAATGTATCCCAGCAGGAAATGATTTTAATAGACCCCTAGCAGTGGGAGCAGGACCAGTTTCTGATGGAAGAAACATGGCTGACTCTGGTATGGAGATGGGAAAGAGGGTCAGTTTTGATCCCTTTGATCTTCCAAGTGATGTTAGAACTCTTGCCCGTATTGTGTATTCTGCTCATGGTGGTGAGATAGCTGTCGCTTTTCTACGAGGTGGCGTCCATGTATTCTCAGGTCCAAGCTTCACCCCTGTTGATAACTACCATATTGATGTTGGATCTGCCATTTCTGCTCCTGCCTTCTCTTCAACAAGTTGCTGCTCAGCTTCTGTTTGGCATGATACCAGCAGAGATTGTACAATATTGAAGATTATTCGAGTTCTTCCTCCTGCTGTTCCAAGTAATCAGGTGAAAGCTAACTCTGCGAATTGGGAACGTGCAATTGCTGAGAGGTACATGTGCTATTGCGCACTATACTTAAAATTTTTGAATCATGTTAATATGCTCAATTAAGACATTTCAATCTGACTGTTATTACATCTAGTTAGAATAGTATTGGTACCTTATAAAAAAAGTTAGATAGTATTTGGTTTATGATATTAAACCGTCTTCCCAGAGATGACATATTTTTCTTTCTATTGGAAGATTTTGGTGGAGTCTTTTGGTTGAAGTTGATTGGTGGGATGCCGTGGGATGCACACAAAGCGCTGCGGAGGATGGTATTGGTAAGAGCTTAATCTGTTGGCAGATTTAGAACTGAACTGCTGAATGGATTTGGAAAGTACTTCAAACTTGATATCGTGATCAAGAGCTAAAATAGAATTTCAGACCTCTGATATCTAACCAGGTTTCAGCGGAGCTCTATGATAGGATTTATGATTGTTCTCTATTTGATGCGTTAATATGAAATCATAAGAAGCCATGAAGAGCTTTGAAATTAAAAATTCCATTCCTGTTTTAATTATTGAGGTCTCTCTCTGTACTAATTTCCGGGTTCAAGTATCATAACCCCCACCCTTGTGCAATAGATGGTATCCTAAAGAATTGAAATGCCATATCTTCACTTTAAAGTTGCATTCATGTTCCTAGCATAGCTGATAGCAGTAATCTTTTGTCTAATCCATGGTCATTCTGCTGGAAGATCCTTTCTTGTGTTTCATGGAACTGCAAAATGGAAAAAAACATAGCATCTTTAGTTGAAATTCTTGTGTAGTTGAAGAGTACCATCGGTCCTTAGATGCTCTGTTTTCCTTGTTTTCCTCTGTTTCTTCTGCTTTAACTCTGAAATTGAAGACGGCTATTCCTCTTCCATGACATCCTCAGTTGTGCCTTTTGTTTTGTCTTCCGAAAGTCCTCCATCTTCACAAAGTCTATTAAAATGAGTAGCTTTAGTTCTTATTGGTGTTTGAAGAGATTCTGCTTCAGCCTGATATAATGTCTGACCTGTTCTGCTGCAGGCCTTGGTTAGAGTTTGAGCTTTCACCTGGCCTTGCTTTTTTCTTAATTGAGGATTTGATAATAATTATCAGTTGATCTCTGCCCTTTTTCTGTTTGAGTAATTTTGACTACATGATCCTGGAAGGATCAGGCGCGTGCGTGAAGGATCAGGCAATCACTAATGATGTGTGCTTTTATTTCAGTTGCTTTGAACAGTGTCATTGCTGTACTGGATGCAGATTTCCATTCCCTTCCTTCAACTCAGCATAGACAGCAGTATGGACCGGTATGTTTCTTTTATTTAAATCTATCTTCAAGCCTATCATTTTCATAATGAGGACATTATCATCCTGGTGTATCAAATTTGACGGAGGTATAGGGAGAGAAAGAAGGACTTGCATATGGTAGAGGTGTGGAGATGTTTGGATGCTAGAGGTGTACCTGTTGCCTACGTTAGGTTGGTTAAGGACATGTATGATAAAGTAAAGACCCGAGTGAGGACGGTGGGTGGAGACTCGGACCATTTTCCGGTTATGATGGGGTTGCATCAGGGGTCGGTACTCACCCCTTTTTTGTTTGCTCTGGTGATGGACGTACTGACGCGCCACATCCAAGGGGAGGTGCCGTGGTGCATGCTATTTGCAGATGATATTGTACTAATTGACGAGACGCGAGACAGTGTGAACGCGCAATTAGAGGTATTGAGGCAGACCCTGGAATCTTAAGGTTTCAAGTTGAGCAGGACTAAGATTGAATACTTGGAGTGTAAGTTAGTGGCAAGACTCAAGGAGGGGAAGGGGAGGTGAGGCTGGACTCGCAGGTCATCCCTAGGAGAGGGAGTTTTAAGTACCTTGGGTCTATTATTCATGGGGATGGGGAGATAGATGAAGATGTCACACATCATATTGGGTCGGGATGGATGAAATGGAGACTCGCTTCCGGTGTTTTGTGTGACAAGAAGGTGCCACCGAAACTTAAGGGTAAGTTTTACAGAGTGGTGGTCAGACCAACGATATTGTATGGTGCTGAGTGTTGGCCAGTCAAGACCGCTCATGTCCAGAAGACGAAGGTAGCAGAGATGAGGATGTTGAGATGGATGTGCGGGCACACCAGGTTAGATA